GTGGGAAGGGAGGCATAAGGGCAAGGAAAAAGAAAGGGGGTATTATGATTAGCATGTGTAATTAGCATGTGGGTGGGGGCATGGGGAGGGTATGCAACACAATGAAGAGAAGTAGTGATTCTACAGCATCTTACTATGCTGATGGACAGTGACTGTAATGGGGTGTGTGAGGGAGACTTGGTGAAGGGGGGAGGCTAGTAAAGATAATGTTCTTCATGTAATTGTAGATTAATGATAACAAAAAAATTGTTTGTCAACCGAAATGAGTTCTGTAGCTTCCAGGAGACAGTCAGACAGACAAAAAGAATGAAGAAAAGAAGGAAAGAAAGAAAAGAATATGATGACCTATGGCATTAAAAAAAGTTCATAGAAAATAATTTCATTCCATTTGTAAAAATAAATCATTATACATAATTTGTATTACTTACACTATACATTTTCTTTGAGCAAATATATCATTAACAATTTCCAGTACACAAAGTAAATGTGGAGGTTGAATCATGGAAACTGATGTTTATATTTTATCGTCTTATCATCTTCCTGTTAATCTGTCACCCACATCTGGTATTAAAAATTTATATGGCTTTCAATGTAACAGAACATTCCATAGCAGTACTGACTGTCAGACCTTCAGTTAAGTGATTTTTATAAATAGTTTTGAACATTATGATTATGAGGTCTTTTAAAATACATACAAATGCAATTTAAAAATTAAAGGAGTTGCCATGAACAAGAGCTTCAATCATCCGTAAGTTTGTGACCTCATATTTCCTTGAGTAATTAGACACATGTTGGAATGTTTGTTTTAAGGAGAATGAGAACTGAATATGATGGGAATCTATTTCTCTAGTTTCTTCACCTTTTGACACTATCAGCCATTTTATTCTTCCTTTATTCCTTAAAACGTTGAAATATAAATGATTATAAACATGATGATGTTGGTTTCAGATGAACTACAAAATGATCCATCAATTATTTATGGTACCAAAGCCTCACCATGATAAGTGTAGTTATTATGTCACCATAAATACATTGCAATATTATTAGCTCTATTGCCTGTGCTGTGACTAAATTGTTTATTAAATTAAAGTTTGTAACTCTCTCATATATGCATATTTTATATGTCCCCTGTCAGTGGTAACCACCAAACTGTTCCCTGTATTTATGTGCCTGTTTATATTTTGTAGGATATTTAAATTTACCAAAGTATATTAATTCTAGAGAATACATATTAAAATTCATTGTTAAATGATTATGATTTACTTATAGAAGCATTTCTGTATTTATTCTTATCAACATATAAAATGTTTCTAAGGAGACATAATTGATTCTTCTACATACACAAAAACGTAGTTACTTATTCCTTTATTACATGTCTGCTAGTTGCTATCAGTTATTAAATGATTTATCATGAAAAAAATGGATGGAGTTAGTTAAAATTATAAACTCCCAGTTATAAAATTGATAAGTCCTGGGGATGTAATGTATGGCATGTTGACTATAGTTAATAACAGTGTTTGGTATATTTGAAAGTTAAAAGAGAGATCTTAAAATCTCATCTCAAGAAAAAACAAATATGTGAGGTGATAGATGTTAAACAGACTTACTCTGCTATTTCACAACACATACAACTACCAAATCATTATGCTGTATACCTGAAACTAATATATTATACATCAATTTTATCTCGATTTAAATATATTCCATGTGTTTAATACATGTAGTTCTTATAGAGGAGGAGAATGGGTAAAATAGGTGAAAGGGAAAAATTAGTGAAAATGTTTAATATCTTGATCTTGGTGATGCTTACAAGAATGCATATGCATGGCAAAATGCATTGAGCTATACACATCAAGATTTGTGCATTTTATTGTATACATTTCAAAAAATAAAATAAATACATATAAAAATTGGGTCATTCATAAACAGAGACAATTTTACTTATTCCTTTCTGATTTGGGTATGTTTTATTTCTTTTTTCATTGTTTTGTCTAACTGCTCTGGGTAGTTGAATAGAAGAGATGAGAATGGGCATTATTGCCTTATCTTGGATATTAGAAAGCTTTCAGGTTTTCATTTTTGAATTTTCAAAATTTTCATTATGGATTTTGCATAAATGACGTTTGTTATGTTGAAGTAGTTGCCTTTTATTCCTAGATTGCTGAATGTTTTTATTATGAAAGAGTGTTGAATTTTATCATGTTGTTATGTATCAATTGAGATGATCATAGTTTCTGTTCTTCATTCTATCAACATGATGTATTACATTAATTGATTTTTCATATAATAAAACATTATTGCATTCCAGGAGTAAATCCTACTTGGTCATTGTGTATAATCATTTAATATACTGTTTAATTCAGTTTCCTAGTATTTATTTACATTTTCTGCATCAATATTCATCATGGATTTTTCTCTATAGCTTTCTTTTCCTTTATTGACTTTGGCTTTGGCATTAATTTAATAGAAAGACCTTGGGATTGTTTCTTCCTCTTTGATGTTTTCTGCAAGAGTACAGGAGGATTATAGACTCTGTTATAATTCCTTTGTGAATGTTTGATACAATTCTCCAGTGAAGCCATCTTTCCTGGTCTTTACTTTGTGATGTTTTGATTAATCATTCAATCTCCTAACTAGTGATAGGTCTGTTCACTTTTTCTATTTCTTCACAATTTTGTCTTGGTACACTATGTGTCTAGAAATTTATCCGTTTCTTGTAGACTATCCACTTTGTTGGTAACATTTTTCTTGGGTTTGTAATTCTTTTTATTTCTGTGACATTTAATGTCCTTTTCATTTCATATTTTATTTGAGTCTATTTTCCTTTTTTCTTAATCTATCAGTTGATCAATTTGTTTATCTTTTCTAAAACAACTTATCTTTATCAACTTTCTACTGTTTCTATTCTCTATTTTATATATCACTGTTCTACTTCTAATTTCCTTTTTATGCAAGCTTTGCATTTTGTTTATTTCTAGTTCCTTGAGGTTGTTGATTTAAGATCTTTCTTTTTAAATGTGTTCATAGCTATAAACTGCCCTTCTAGTAGTGCTTTGCTGATATCCTTTTTCTCTATAGAGACATAAAAGTTTTGTTACCCTTTTTCTCTATAGAGACATATTGTAACTTCTTTTGTGATTTCTTCTTCCACCCAATAGTTGTTTGTGTGTTATTTAATATTTCTGGATTTTCCATTTTTCTTTCTGCTATTGATTTCCAGTTGATTTCAGTTTTCTAAGCTTTTTTCTTGGTGTTGAATAGGTGTGTAATATTCCAACCACCTTACACGCCAGAAAAGAAATGAGAGGTCTACTTCTCTGTTTTTCAGATTGCCCTTAGGCTTGTCTTTCTCCTGTATTGCAAATCAAGTCGCCTCTTTTGGGGAGGAAATTAGATGCTCTCTGTTTTATGGCCTGCTTCTCTCTCCTTGAGGAAAAATCTCTGGAGATTTCTAGAGTTAGAAGTGGGGACATTGGCAAGTTTTTTCCTGAGTGTCAGCCCACTGTAATAACTGAGTGCTCAAGGGAGATGGGCAACAGCCTGAGTTCCTGTGGCTTGCCTCACTAGCCATTGCTTCACACCTGGGGTGGGGATGATCAGGGCCCCAGTCTGTTCCATGTGCTTCACCTAAGGTAGAGCCATTGTTACTCAAATGGGGCTTGAAGGTCGAGGGAGCTTAAGCCATACTTAATTTAAGGCACATGTAGTTGGGGACCAAATATGAAATGCTGTATTATCTGTTTGATATTTTGGTATAAGAAACACAGAATGACTAAGTTCTTTTTTTCCATGTTATATAAGTTTCATGCTAATATATACAACATTGGATAAGCTTTGATGTTAGAGAAACATAGATTTCAGCTCTCACTTCTCTACTTAAAATCCACATGATCCTGTACAATTCCTATCTTCATTGAGATTGTACACTTACCTACACTATGGGATCACTGATACCTCTATTGATACTTCTTGTGAGGTAAAAATGCCAGAATCATTGTGAAGTGGCTGACACATTGTAAAGTGGCTGAAAGATGTTTGTTTCATTTCTTCCATTTCTCTTTTCTTATTTTTCATACCCCATTTATTTTTAAGTATCATGAACTAAATATATTTCTGAGTTCAAAGCTGAATAATGTAAAATTTTTTATTCTGTGTTATATTTTCTGTAGATCTTGTCTAAAAATTTGGTTTCTTCTACCTAATTTTACCTCTGGGAACTTATAGGGATTATTTTATCAAAGCTAATTAATAGATTACATACTATTGTTAAATATTTAACATGATACTTATTAACTTTTACTTTAGACATTTCCTGTGTATGTACCCTTCTATTCAGATATACAATCTATTTAACTTCTGACAGATCATGAATCTATCTTAAATATTTCTTCCTCTATTTCCTGTTCAAAACATTATCCTTACATACAATTTCTCTTCCTACTTTACACCACCTTTCCATATCTCCCTTTAATTACACCTCATTTTTCAAATTTGCCACTCATTGCCCAGAATGAACCTGTAATTATATTTAGAATTCATTAAACATACATAGTGCTATTTATTAACACATTTATATTATATATCTATTAACTAATTGTTGTAGTTATTTTTCATATTTTTTCTTTTAATTTGTATACCAGAGTTAAAACTGATTTGAATATCATTTCCTCAACATCTTTGTGTTTCAGGGTAAAGAATGTGAGAAAAATGATAGGTCTACTAAAAGTCTTTTTTCTTTGTATCCCCATGGAAGAATGCCTTGCTTTAGGTTCTACTCAGTAGACATTTTTCAATTGTGTGCATGGTGTGACACTAATACCTACAGAAATAAATTTGGACATTTTTACTTCCAACTCATAAAATATGAAGCAGGGCAGATCCTTTGTTTGAATTATAAACATGATGCCCTTGCTTCTGTTATTTTTCACAACAGGAATAAGAGTAAAATGATAGCCATATTGGTATAATAGAACATAATTTAAATTTTTCTTACTTTCTAGGAACACTTACCTTTTGCTGTAGTTGGGAGTATGGATGAGGTAAAAGTTGGAAAAAGGATGGTCAGAGGTCGTCAGTATCCTTGGGGAGTTTTACAAGGTAAATATATGAAAGCAAACAGACTTGGTCTGGAATGATTATACAAAATAACTGATAATTTCATTGTTTAGCAAGAGTTAACCAATATTGGCTTTGGTTAAAATGATATATTGAGACTTTAAGATTATATTTGTATAATTTTCATGTAATCTAATGTTATTTATCTAATTTTTTATAGATCTATATAAAAATAAATATAATGTCATAGTCTCAAAATATTTTAACTTGAACCAATATTTATATTTGGATAGATTATACCTGGATATTTATATTTGTTATCTAGAATCATGATGAGTTAGAATATTGTAATAGGCAGTCATATACTGTCTGGTTCTTATACTTTTGATAGTAATTATTGGGAATTGGGTTGCCTCTACCTTCACTAGTTTCCAAAATTTTTTGCTTTCTTGATACATTAGAAACATTTTAATTTATGAAAAGTACTTAAAAGCATGTTTTATGGGCATTACATTTAATTACTATATAATAAACAATACACAACATATTATAAATGATCTTCTGGTTATGACAGATATAGAAGAGAGCCTTGTGAATTTATTGGTTGATTTTTGAATATTGACTAATTCAGTCTCATAAATGTGGTACATAAACAGATTTTAATAACTAAAGTATAGGCCTTTGTGTTATCAGAATTTAGTTTAATGAAATTACTTTAGTAAAATTATAATACATTCCTTTTTAGTACTCTTAAATACCTGGAAGGTTGTTTGTAAAATACCAGCAATTATTAATGAGAAACTATACCATTAGTAATATAATATAATATAACATGTTATTTCACTGTTTCCTATATATTCTTTGGCTAATCATTTTAAAGCAAATTTCCTATCTATAAATAAACTGCCTTTAATTGAAGTGTACACATAACCATAGTTAAATGCTTCAAAGAATTATAGCTATTAATCAGATTTATCTCTTAGCTGTTATTTTAAATGTGTTTTTCATGCATGTATTCATTCAAGCATGCTCATTGAGTGCCAGAGATTGATAATGAGTATTGTGGCTTTATTGTATTTCTGCCTAGTGGAAAATGAAAATCACTGTGACTTTGTTAATCTCCGGGATGTGCTTCTTTATACAAATATGGAAGACCTGAAAGAACAAACCCATATTCAGCATTATGAATGTTACAGGTGCTACAGACTGCAGGAAATGGGCTTTACTGATGTGGCTCCAGATAACCAGACAGTTAGGTGAGTTAAGATATTGCTAGAATAAGCTTAAGAATGATTTTGGAATCTCCTACAACTGCACCTCATTTGGAAACAAGAATAACTATGCATCTCACATGCTGGACCATCTTGAATTTCTTTAAATCATCCTCAGACAGATAGAAAGACTTAGTAGAACAACATAATACAAGGGTTCATTTATATACTGATATATGAGTATCTAATTTGTGTTTAGTGTGAAATGCATATCCAAAAGAAAAACATTATTTTGATCATTTTTACATTTTATATGAAACAGAAGTTCAGGAAGGAGATTGGCAATGATTTACAAAGGCTGTAAAGGATATTGAGGGAAGGAGGAAAAACAAAAGTGTAATGTCATGGAAGGCAAGTGAAAACAGTCTAAGAGCCAGTGGTGTATTTAGCTATACTGAAGAGGAATAGGATTTGGGCTACAACAGTATGAGAGTATAGTATACCCCAGTTATATATGTCATGGTACTTTGAAGACAACCAAAATTGAACTTGCTATCTAAAATGAATCATAGTTTGAAAATTTTCTGGCTTTATTTTAATTATTTTGAGAGCCTTATGAATTAGAGGTTTCCCCAAATTTCACTGTTAAAAGATGTGAAGAAGTGTGAAATATTGAAAAGTGATAGGAACAAGAAATTACCACTATAAGCATTTCAAAATTCTAGGTCTCTTTAAATATACTCTGTATAAACCCATACGCAATATTGAACTTCACTTTTTTACATTTTGTGATAAAGGAATGTCCATTTCTATACATGAGAGAATATTGGTAAGTGTCTTTATGTGGGACTTAACATACAACATATATTTTATACATTTATTTATATTGGCATTTTAATATGAGAATAATAAAAATTTAAGTTTTCGAGAGATCTGTGAAGCCAAAAGATGGGAGTTCTATGATCAATGTCAGAAGGAAGAAGAAGAGTTGAAACAGAAATTTATGCAGCGAGTAAAGGAGAAAGAAACAACATTTAAAGAAGCTGAAAAAGAGGCAAGTATTGCTAGTCTGATATAATTTGTATTCATTTGTAGGTGTTATTAATTTGGGGGTTTTAATCTCAAGAGTTGAGTTGATGTTTTTGGAAGATATTTGCTATTCTAAAAAAAGCTATTTACCTTATAGGTTTTGAAAACAGACTTTAAACATTATACTCTGTAATTTTATTTTTTCTATAGCATGTGGATAATTTGGTTTTTAAATAATCCCTAAAATAATTTTGTAAAACCTATGTACTTTTATTTATAATGTGAATTTTCATGCATAAAGTTTGATTTGTGCCAAATTGAAACTTTGACTTCTGTGAAGAGTCGTTACTTTCTAACACTAATTCTGCACTAGAAAATTTTCTTCACTTTTATAAATAAGCACATAAATGGTGGTTAATGCAAGCCTTGATTAATTAAAGAACTTTTAGTCAGTGAATTATATGGATTCCTTTTTCATTGAATTGCACTTGGTTTCTAATGAAATGGAAAAAGAGAATATAATATAGTTTAGATTTTTTTTGCCACCAATATATTTGGTGATGAAGGAATATATTCACATTATAAATACTTGAGGAAGGAATATATTTGCAGTTATAAATATCTTGCTCTCAAGTACATATCGTTTCAACTTAAGAAATTTAGTTTTAGTAGGAAAATATGAACTTGAACTTCCTTTTCCATAGAAACAAGGTAGTGACTAGGTCTGTGTACCAGATATCTCAGTCAGAGCAAATGAACTATAAGGAACAGGAATTCCACTACCTTAGGTATAAAGGTAAAGTTTTAGAAGTATTAAAGTGTATCTTACAGCAGCCAAGAACAGGAAACAGCTGAATCTCATGAGGACTTAAACCCAGAGTAGGAATGACCAGAAACTAAATCAAACATTTAAATTCTCTATTTCTCCCCTACCTCATTCCCATTAGTTATCGTATTTATCTCTGCATCTTCATTTTTGCTCTCTGGAGATCACTCTTCCCTCATTTTTCAAAAATATGTCCTCTCAGGAAGAACCACCACAGCCTAAAATTGATTGTGGAAATGATGAGTAGCAAAGGTTCTTAATAGGGTTTATAATGTCTGTAGAAAGAAGCAAATGAATTTCTGATATAAATAAAATAACAAGGAATCTAAAGGTACATACAGATGACAAGGTGACAGAGAAACAGGCCCACCTGGGTTTGCTCAGAATATGAATACCAATTATTTAAAACATGGTAAGTAAGTGACATTCTGAATAGCTGATCAGGAAAGTGGTGGCTAACCGAGGCAAAGTAAACTTTCTAAGCATACCTAGAAAATGGATTAGTCAGACTCAAATTACATATTTAAGTTTCTCAAATAATTAAAAACTGGTAAGTTTCTATATATCCCAGTACTATAGAGTTCAGTCTTTACATATTTGAATTTCCTACTTGTATTTTTTCACATGGTTGCCTGTTTATAATGTTTCTTAGTTTTTCTCTTATTGATTTATAGTTCTTTACACATTACAGAGTGCTCTTTAGGTATTTTTTTGTACTTTCAAGGAAGAATGTTTTTTATTAAGGTATCATTGATATACAATCTTATGAATGTTTCAAGTGAGCAACATTGTGGTTACTACATTCCCCCCTATTATCAAGTCTCCACCACATACCCATTATAGTCACTGTCCATCAGCAAAGTAAGATGCTATAGAGTCACTTCTTGTCTTCTCTATGCTATACTGCCTTCCCCGTGCCCACACTATATTATGTGTGCTAACCATAATAGCCCTTAATCCCCTTTTCCCTCACTTTCCACTGACCCTCCCTAACCCTTTTCCCTTTGGTAACCACTAGTCCACTCTTGGGTTCCATGAATCTGCTGCTCTTCTGTTCCTTCAGTTTTTGCTTTGTTGATATACTCCATAGATGAGTGAAATCATTTGGTACTCGTCTTTCTCTGCCTGGCTTATTTCACTGAGCATAACACCCTCTAGCTCCATCGATGATGTTGCAAATGATATTATTTGTTTTCTTCTTATGACTGAATAATATCTCATTGTGTATATGTACAACACCTCCTTTATCCATTCATCTACTGATGGACACTTAGGTTGCTTCCATATCTTGGCTATTGTAAACAGTTTTGATATAAATACAGGGGTGCATATGTCTTTTTTTTTCCATTTTGGCCCATTTTTAAGTATACAGTTCAATAGCAACAAGTACATTCACAATGTTGTACACCCATCACTACCATATCCAAAACTGTCTTATCAACACACACAGAACCTTTGTAGCCATTAAACGGTAACTCTCCACTTTCCCTCTCCCAGCCCCTGGTCACCACTAATTTGCTTCAGGTCTCTAGGATTCTCACTATTCTAGAAACCTGCATATGGCATCTAAGTGGAAACATACCATATTTGTACTTTGAGAATGATTTACTTCATGTAGCACAGTGCCTTCAAGGTTCATCCACATTTTAACGTGTATCAGAATTTCATTCCTTTTTGTGGCTTAGTATGGGCTATTTTTTAAACTTTTTTGTGTCATTAATCTATAATTGCATGAGGAACAATATTATGTTTACTAGACTCCCCCTTTCACCAAATCCTCCCCCCCCCCC